TGACCGATTACGCGACTTTGCAACAATACAACATTTTTCATGGGAATCTGTTGGCATGCAAGGAAAAATTCGCATGAACTCGGGAATCGCGTCCCAGGACGCAGGACGCAGACGGCAAAAAGCAGATTTGCAAGCCGGAAAATTCGAAGCACTCTTGCCAAACGCGAAATTCAGGACGCGAGTGATAAACAAGATACAAGATTCATATTTTAATGTGCAGAACGCATTTGCAAGTCGCAGAATACACAATGCTGTTGCCCTTATGCAAAATGCAGGATATATGTACGGAACTTAGTATATGAAGCGTATTTGCAAAACGCAGGATATAGTACGCTAATTGCGATGCACATCTGCAAATCGTACGGCACAGGATGCAAAATGCAAAACGCAAGATATAGAACGGAAAATGCAAAGTGCATTTGCAAAATGCAGGATATAGGACGCGAAGTGCAAAGCGCAATTGCAAGACGCAGGATATAGAACGCTAAATGCAAATCACATCTGCAAATTGTACGGTAAAGGATGCAAAATGCAAAACGCAAGATATAGAAAGTAAAATGCAGAATGCATTTTGAAAACGCAGGGTACAAAATACAAGATGCAAGATACAAAATGCAAAATTCAAGATGCAAAATAAGATGCAAGATGCATGATGCAAGATGTAAGATGCAAGATGCAAGATGCAAGATGCAAAATACAAGATGCAAAATGCAAACCAGTCAGCCTCCTTGGTTGAATGACTCGTTGGACGCAGTCGCAACGAGGAAGGTAATACGAGCGGCGCACGCACTCGCACGCATGCGCACGCGCACCCGTCTTTACGGCCGACTCGCGTTTAATACAGTTGCGTAACGCGCCGCGTGCGTGAGGGCATATTGATATCCGAGTCCTCTCGCGTGACACCATGAATCCAGGGTTATGGTGCAGACATAATATCGCCAAATGTCGCCTCGCGTCGGCCAGCCGGTTTCGAGCCGCGAGCTGCCCTCCTCCTTTTCATTTCGTTTTACTGCCAAACCGGCACGTACCGATGCAACTGCGCTCTCGCCGCTGCATAACGACATTTCCGATCTGGTATTTCACTCTGATCACTCAATCCCACCGATAATTGATAAAGAACCAGGCGTGATCGAAAGAACGCGATGATCCACAAGGGTTAGCTGTTACAAAAATTTCAAGAACTTCTCTAAATATTGGAAAAATTGAATATTTCGGTACATTGGATAAGGTACATTGATAAGCCAGATTAAAAATCCATTAAATTCTTTGTTTTTTTTTTTTTTTAGTAGAATTTAGAAATTTTCATTGTGAGGCATTGGGGAGGAAGCGAGTGAATTGTACCGATGTGACATTTATGAATTATTACGATTTGTGGGAGATGTAATCATAAGAGGGGGATAGGGATTCGTCTTAGGAGTGTTGTTTTTAATAACGATAAAATGGGGACAACGAGGACAGGAATTTCTCCAGAGAGACGTTTAACGTCGTCCCGGATATTATTTATCCCCTGCCGATTGCACATTCCCGAATGTTTGCACGTAACGCTCTTATGCGTGCATTGTTTCCCAAGTATCCACTCCATATGCAGTGCACATGGCTCGGCGAACACGTTCTCGCAGATATCTATTACTTGCACATGCCCTTCTTCTGCAAATACGCTATGCCCCGACGTATATTGATTGCGCATTGATGCTCTTCGGGTATGCACCAAGTACGCATTGATTACCGCGATCACCACGAACCGACGTAGAGGCGTAACTTCATCACGGGAGAAAGGAAATATTTCTCTTACCAACTGGCGACCAACAATAACGTTTAAACCGAAATTGGATCATTTTGATCGTCACCACATCACAAACGCATCTCTCTTCAAGTGAACCAAACTCACATTTGTTTCTTTTCTTTCCGACAATTATTAAGGCGATGTGAAAGTGGCGTCGAAGAGGTTTTGTTTATAAAACTTTTCTCCTAACGCAATTAACCGAATAGCTTGAAACCTAACAACGTGAATAGCGAGACTACAAGGAAGGTCCTGAAACTCACGAAATATCAATTCTTTTCAAATTAGTTTATAGGTGTTTTAAAAATAATTTATAAAAAATGAAATCTCGCGAGTTTGAGGACCTACCTTAGGGTCTCCATATCCACGTTTTAAAGTATGANTTTATAAGAAATTAAATTTCCCGAGTTTCAGGACCTACCTTAGGTTCTCCATGTTCACGTATTAAAGTACGAAACGATTTGAGACACCCAGTTCGTAGAAAAGTTTTCTGAACGATTGAGCTTTCGGATGCCGCTTTCACATCCCCTTAAATGCAACTACTTAGGTGGAATTGTGATAAACTGCCAGATTGAATATGCAAGGTGAAGACTTAGGGTATGACGACTTGGGTCCAAATGTCTCAATTTCCGTTTAAGCGATAAAACGCGGCTCCAAAGAAATTCCCTAAGTTCTCGCCCTGACTTTATTCCCCTCAAATTTAGATCCGATGCAGCTGCACCTGCCGGGCCTCGGTGGAAAATTTATTGTCATTCCTATTTGCGCGTTGTCGTTCATTTTCCCCCGTTATCGTAACGAGGGAATATTAACCGTAATTACGCATTATGATTTGCGGCACGGCGATGCAGTCGCAAACGTTTTCCTGCGGGTGCAGTTCGTCGATTACGAGTTCCCCCAGTCAGGTGCAGGTCCGTAGACACGGACCATTGACAACCTGTTCCGCACCGAACGCGGCGATACATTTGCTTGAAAGCTTCGCCCCCGGCCTCGCTACATGCTGTTCGCTGCAGTTCCGTTACGATTGCGACGTCTGTAATTGGTGGCCTGTTTTGGTTAACCGGGTTTGGTTAACCACGGGTCATTTTGGAGGGCGATAAGGCAAACCCAATGAACCGGGAATTTCGGGGAGATTTATAAAATGGCACCGTTAACCCGCGATACAGTCGTCAATGGTACCCGCGAATGGCGGAATTGGGAGGAGATTTCCTGCTTTCCGTTAAAATCCTCGTTCGTGTCCCGTTTTCTACAAAATTTGTAAGAATTACTTTCTCGGAGAGTGAGTGCCGCAGCTGCATCGATCAAAGATACTCGACTCGAAATTCTGATCCTACTTAGAACCTCTGATTGTAAGACTTAAGGGGACGTTAAACTGGCATCTGAGATATCAATAGTTCATGAAACTTTTCTCCGAACTAGGTGTACCGAATCGTTTCAAACTGTACAATGTTAATACGGAGGCTTGAAGGAACGTCCTGACCCCCATGGAATTTCATTTTCTATATCAAATTTTTTAAATGACCATAAAGAAATTTTTTTTAAATTTCCTTATAGCCACATTCACATTGTAATGTTTCAAGCGAGTCGGTACACCGAGTTCTAAGAAAAGTTTCACAAACGAGACCTATTTGACGCCACTTTCACGTCACCTTAAATGGGTTTATAAAGAAAGGTAACTTGCATACAATTGAGATCCTACTTAAAACCTTGAAAGTGGCAGATATCTCCATTTCTTCTACTTCTAGGCCTAAAGTAAGTCTTAACCCGTATTAAGTAGAACATACAAGGTCGAAAAAAGAGCTTAAACAATTAAATAGGACCAAATGAGATCTTAGATCACGCAGGTTCAAAATATATCTTGAATTCCAACTCGGGATAGAACAGATCTGCCTTAAATGAGGAAATCAGTCCAGCACATGGAATTTCATGAGGTACGAATTTTGCAATTCAGAATTCGGAAAATATCGACAAAACGGAGGAGGAAGTACAACTCGGGCGGTTAGATATTGACCTAGATGTACAGTTAAACGTTTTACAGCAAAGATTACCGGCCACGCCTTATCCATCTGAAATGGAATATCGTGCTCGGGTCTCTTAATCAAGATGTGCAGGAAAATCGTCAACGATACAGAGTCGAGCCCAAAAACAAAATAAAAAAATCGTTCCATTGCCTCTGAGGTATATGTACCCACCGAAAAATATTTCGTTAAACCGATACAATTTTTGTCGGTTCAACCGCAGAATATGGTTATTACATGGACAAGCATAGATTAGGGTGAGGAGATAAAATTCTTTGGTTGAAAACTTGTGATTGATTACGTCAACTGTTGTAGTCAACCAGCCCAAATATTAAAATAATTCGGTACAATTAACCGAAATATTTGGGGTGTTGATTAAAATATCTTCTGACGTTGACGAAACGACTTAACCAAAACTCTTTAATTGACTGGCGCAAACGAGTTCGGTCAAGGGAACTGAAATTCGGTTCATCCCACCAAGACGTTTTCTGAAATTAAGGTGAAGTGAAACCCCCTTCAATCAGTCGATTTGAATACAACACTTTTTTTTAAGGGTATTAGACCAAACTATCCGAAACTTCACATCACTCCTGATCATCTAAAAATTGTCCTGACGCATTCAAAATTTGGATTTTTTAAAAAAATGTTTTAACTCAGCCCAGACCAGAACCAAAATGGCGTCGAGCTCTCATATTTCGATCATATACAATTATCGAAGGCTCTGATATGAGAATCGAAAGGGTCAGGACAATTTTACGACAATTTAGAACACTCTGGTAATCGATAAACTCGCATTTGAACGGGATAAAGGCAAAAAAAGTGTTGTATACGCTTCTATACTAAAACGATGGGAATACGAGGTCTCGGAGTGAAAATTTAATTTACCTGAAAATCACAGACGGCGCAGGGGGTCCCTCTGCAGTCAATTAGGGCCTCAGAAAGCACGAATCCAGAGGATTTCTTACGAAAACGACAGGTGGAGTATGCCATTTGGTACAATACCCAATATAATTCGATACAGTTGTCAATATAAAAACGAACGCCGGCAACGTAGGCATTTAGAAAAATCTTCTTTATCGACGTCGATCAAGTTCCTCGACGTGTTTCACTTCACCTTAACCAAATGTTGTCGACCAAATGATGGAGGACATTTCATTTCTGCATGTTACGAGTCCAGGATGTGACCAGAGTCCTTTCCGTTGCAGGTAAAGAAGCAGTGGCCGTGGGGCCAGCTGCAGGTGTCCACGATAACTGGACGGTCCAGCGAGTCCTGGTTGCCAACGACTCGACCAGTCCTCGATTTCGTCGTCCACAGCTTCAAGCAGTGGCCGGGACGAAGCGTCTTCGTCCTCCGGCCCCGGCTCCTCCGGCCGCCTGCAGAGTCAATGCCAAAGACATCAGCAAGTACTTCAGCTCCCCGAATAAGGAGAACAGGCCGCACCATGGTGTGAACGAGAGCATCCTGATCGAGGACGCCGAAGCCCGGCCCGAGGAGGACATGGGTTCCAATCTCAGTAGACACAACGGCAAAGGACTGACAGGTCGCAGGACCCAGTCTTCCGGAAACCTCTGTGATCCCAAGGGGAAATTGAACACCGTCGGGAAGATCCTGGTCCCGTGTTCCAGCTCGCAGAAGGAAAGGTCAGTCCCGCGAGGTCTCCCGAGGTCCTTGAAATTCTCCCCTCTAACTTGCGGGCGCGAGCCCTATTTTATTGGAAATTTAATGGATTAAACTTGCCCGGCTGGAAACTCGAGGACTGGGAATTCTTCCAAAAATGAAGAAAACTAGGAAAAGAACATTAGCGCGGTTGAATCTTCGACCTAACCGAATACCATTTACGTAGAATAGGCAAGTCGTTGGAAGGAATAATGTTTTTAAATACCCTTGCATTTTTTAGAGCGCTGCCTGAGGCAGAGTCTATATGTCATTGCTTTCTAAATAATACGTATTTAGAATTGTCGAATAAGAACTTTCAGAGGTGGGAATCACTTTTGAAAGTGACTATGTGAATAGTTGTGGTAAATTTCGAAAAGGCGGCATTTTATCTGTTTTCAAAGCTTTTCGAATTTTATTATTTTCTTTTTAATCGCGGACGGACACTTTTACTCTTTCAATTCGAACATCTTTTAGTTCTTTTTCTCTAATCGGACAAGCAATAATCAGCGAGGACGTACATGACGCGTTTCGTCCCCGTGGATACCGTCGACAATACGAATTCTACGTGAAAAGTTGAGAAAAATGTTACGCAAAAGTGTTAAGCAATGAAGTAGGGAAAATACATTTAAAAAATTAGAAAAAAAGGATATTTTTTTGAAACGACTCGGAAACGTTGATGGAGACGTACGTAGGGGAGAAACGGGAATGATAGCAGAGGGATGCAAATGTATCTCCCTCAGGAAAAAATTGACGAAAATCCTGGGTTAATCGAATTGCAGTGTCCTGCGGAGTGGAGTTCAAATTCGAAAAGTTGGAAGAGTGTGTACATGTGTGGACAGGATTCAACGAGAGACACTAAAGCGTTGTCCCTCTCGTCGCTCGTCCGCCTGTCTGAGTAGTTACTGTACGAATTTGTCGCTTTCAAGCGACACAGGAGAACGGCAGGAAACGTAGCCCCATTGTCTACCTTTCTCTGTCTCTCCCCCAGTTTTGTCCTCGTCGAGATTGAACTCGACATTTGGGGCACGCATTTATACGTCCGAGCTTTTAACCGAGCTTTGATGCCGACAACCATATTCTCTAGTGGGGTCGCCACCTTCGAACCCGAAGAGAGCAAGTCGAGAGACGGAAAACTGCGTCTCTTAGACGAAAAAAAAAAGGAAAAAAATTCTTTTTAATAATTTCCCCGGAGGAAGGAAAATACTTTTGATAAAACTGTCACAGATCTGAAAGCTGGCCTGGATGGCATTAGGTAACTCAACTTCTCCCTTTTTCATTTTATTTCCTTTTTATTATATTTCAAAGAGAGAACGAGGAGGCAGACTCAAACGAGAAAAATGGGTATTAAAAGTCGCTGGTTCCCCCTTTCTTTTACGCTTTCCTACCCCCGAACTACCCTCTTTTTCTCTGATATCATTTGAGTAAGTGCTCGTGTCTCGTCGGAAACAACGGCCCCAGACGCAGGACAGACGTCTTGTACCGCTTTTGTTCGACTGCAAAAAGCCTCATATTCAGCGAGGCGATTTCTCTCTGACGAGACGTCCGAACCGAGAACCGACCTGAGAACACGACAATGGGATTAAATACCGTACAAGCTGGTCCATTTGAAGCAGGCACCCTGCCCCCCGAGTTGAACAATACCGTAAAAAGACGTGAAAAAATTGCTCGAACCTCGCCGGGAATTTATTAATTTATGAATCCACTAAATAGTGGCTTATTGTTTGGCGAACGGTCACTCGATTATTGATTAAACCGTTCACAGAGATATCATTTCCCGGGTTAAAAAATCAATGTCGATTACTATTCCGTAGGTACAAACTGTGCGGATCCTTGCCCAATCACCTGGACGACAAGGATGGGATGGACGAAGACCCTGGAGAAAACAACAACGTGATACAAGACACGATCGGCGGGAGTCTTGGTGGAACTTTGCCCCACAAAAAGCGGTCCCTTGGCGTGCACTTTTCGGATGATGGACCAACGGGTGCTCTGGACCTCGTCAAGCACAGATCCCAGGATGACTTCGACGACCAAGACCCTTGGAGGTAAGTGGGAATTATTTTGCGAATTACTATACTTCGGGGTCACTTTTCGTTCCTTCCCTACCATCGCTCCACTGAAAAGAGACGCGTAAGTAGACCTCGAGAATTTTTAAGATTATTTTCCCTAATTTCCCACGCGGTAAATGTACTCACCCGGGAACAACACTCGCCCATACCCCGAACGTTCCAGCTGATAGCGTAAAAATTTAAGCCCCAGTTTCCTCCGCGCAATTTCCCCACTTCTCGAAACACCGGAGAAACTCCAGACCGGGGGAATATTTATGGGCGTAAAAATTCGTTAAACTCGTTGAATAAGCGAGGTAACCCCCTTTTATTGGTGGGCGAGGAAGTGCCCTTAGACCCGTGCATACCCCGAAGAGCTCAACCTTTTTACGGGCGGACACTCTTTTACTCACCGTATCATCCGTTCCCTCGGCTCAACTTCAGCAAACTCGTGTATCTTCGCTGAACCAGCACCTGCCCCCGGGTCTCGGTATAACTTAACTCGACTCCTCGTCCTCAGGTACCAGCAGAGCAGCGACCTCGATCTAGTCAGATGCAAGCACGGCAACTTCGACCTAGTCACCAGGAATCAAAACACCGCCACATTGGACAGCAATTCGAGCAAGAAGTACTCGCGTTGTCAGTCGGTGGACGAGAGATGTCGACGTAGCTCTGACCTGGACCTGGTCGGCACCTTGCCGAAGAGAAACCCGAATGCCAAGGGCAACACTAAGGTCCTGGAGACCAACTTCCACCAGCAGTGCAACGTCAACGACATCGACGAAGACCTGCTGCTGAAGCTGGTCCACAAGCCCGACTGCGAGCTAGTGAAGCACCGCCAACTAAATAAGTGTCTCGATCTGAAGCTGAGCAAACTCGGAGGTGGCGAACCACAGGATCAAGGATACGCCTCGGAACGCTCCCCCGAAGACGAACATCCTCCGTCGTTGCCGGGACAGCCGTTCCCCAACATCACCCCTGGTGAGTTCATGGGTCTAGGGAGATTTCCGAAAGTGTCAGGGATAGCATGCCTGGTTATTTTAAACGATTACATGAATAACTTGATGTGCATGGAGAGAATGGATGAGGAAGATCGGTAACCCTGGATCTAAGGAAGCAAGTAGGTGATCTAGATTCAAGGACTCAAGATCATCTCAATATGACTGAGAATTAGGAGTCTCTTAAAGAACCACTTGAGGGATCTTACGTGGTCCTCTTCGTTATCCCAAGAAGACCACCCTGAAGAATAGCTACTTCGTAACTAGAAGCACCATTCAAAAGTCTCTTTTTAAGCCACGTCCATGCATCAGTCCCTGACCTAGGTCTTATACCAGGAGTCATATCGCGCTCCCTCGTCCTGCCCTAAATGAGACGTCTAAAGACGGGAAAAATCCCGAGGCACAATCGCCCCCATTGTCACGGGGGGTCCTGGACTATGAGACTTTATAGATCGTTAACCCAACGAGCCTTAACGTCCTCCAGAGCTCCTCCTTAAGGGAAGCTGGATCTGGCCAGGAAGGACCGTTCGCCAGGATTCGGCAAAAAGAGTAAAACGATCCGCGTCCTATCTGCGGAGGCTGTACGGCCGCCATTTATCTTATACTTACCTTCTTGCTCCCTGCCCTACGTTCTGCCGTGTAACGAGCGGTTCTTACTGTCAAGCAGCTTCCAGCTTTTCATCTGCATGACGTCCACCGATTTTGCTCAGCGAACTCGTCGTTGCCTTAGTTTACGCACCTCAAGGCGCACGTTATTTGCGTTCCTTCAAAGGCATCTCGTTATTACTACTAAAACTCATCCTGCTAGAAAAATGATATTTTAACATGGTAGTTTAACTATGAGAGGAAAATGCAAAATAACGACGCTTGAACGATCATTAAATGGGCATTTAAAATCACCTTAATTATTGCCTCGCATTCGGATAGGGCAATTAAGCATTAGTTTGGATATAACTATAAAGATGGGCCGTGTATTAAAAATAATGAAATAGTCATTATTATGTAAATCCAAGAGACATTATTACTCGTTGGAGCTGGGAAAAGCGCTCTATGCAAATCGGGGGAAACACGAGGGCAGCGTAACGTGTGCATCCACGATGCACCCCGCTTGCAGGATTACCTTTCGGCGGTGCAGATAAATGTTTCAGGGGATGCCGCAACCACGGAAAGTCCTCTTCATTATTTCAAGATTGCCGAAGGTTATCACCTAACGAAATGCATGCAAAGATCACACCTAACGCTGGTGTTCCCCTGCATAAAAGTGCAACGGATACGGGAATTAAGAGCCTCGGCTAACATCGGAGCCTCGTATCGGAAATGTCTCGTTCGGGATAAACAACTTCTATACAAACATTTGCCAATATTTTGGCCAGGACGCTCTTTAAAATTCCAGCGGGGATTTAAAGTAAAATACACTCTTTTTCTCTGAATTTTTATTAAAAATAGCAGAATCCCAGTTGCCTTCGGATTTCAGATTTTCAACGTTTCAAGTGAGACGCAATCTATTGAATCGTCAGTTAATATATTCTCAGTTAGCAATTTCAGGGGATGTAAAAGCTATTGACTCGGGGCCCAAGCCCGTGCGGATTTTTTAAAAGGGAAAAAAAATCACGCGAAATGATGCCTCACTCTCTGGAAGATTGCGGTACCCATTTCCCAGTAAATTATTCATTAATTACAATTTTCCGTAATTCCTGGAAATTTATGGGCGAAACAATAAGTACCCAGAACACGACACGAGGCGCTACCGGGGAATAATTTCCACTTTTCTCCATTCAGAGTGATAGAATTAACACCGAATCCTCCGGAGTGCATCTCCGATGTGTGCAAACGTGCTCTTGCGGCTCCTCTTTGCCGCACCCGCGATTACGCCTGCACTTGTGCTCGGCAAAGTCCAATTAGATTTTTACCGTTGTCCTCGTCTTCATTCGCGAACATACGCGTAAGAGGTAAGAAAGAAAGCAGCCAATTCGCAGCTGAGCTTTACTTTACGGTAAATCTTGGAAGCAATAGCCGAGTCGTTCCTCGTTGCGTGACGGTTGCGTGTCGATAGTTGCATCACGAACGCGGAGTGCGGATTGCATGCAACCTGCACGGCATATTAGTCTACAAGAACTCGCTATTAATTGCAGCCGCAATGCTGTTCTACGCGATGAGCTTCTGTTTCATTCCCAAAGAGCACGAGCGTAGCGAATTAATAAGTCTTTTTATGCAAACCCTCGTCTTTGACCTTTCGTTTTGGGTGCCTCGCAATTCACGGAATACAGAACTCATTTCACGGTATTATCGCACATATAACGAAGAAAAAAAAAATGAGACTTTGGTAAAAAAGACCCCCGAGGGGGTTTAAAGGTGGACGTTCCACCGTACGAATTTACCGACGTTCCAGTTTCTCGCCGATTTCCGAAATTAATATTCTCGGAATTTTCCCAGAATTTTCGATACGGCTACGCGGGTACAGTGGGTTTGTTTGATGTATGAAAAGTTGAAATTATCGGGGAATGGTTAATCAAATATTCTTACTTAGATTTCTGTATATCCCCTAGAAGAAACCTAGTCCGTTATGAACGAAGTTTAATATGGTACACCCTCTTCTTCAAAGTCTTCAAGGTTTCAAAGTCATTACGACACTTCGGGATGCATTGCCTATTAACTTCTATTGAAGTTTCGCAAAATTGTGGAGGGGGAAGGGGTCGAAAGTCAAACTTTGGGCAGTTTCGGGTACGAGGAACGGTAGTACAGAAAAGGAAGAAAAAGAAAACCGTAGATATCTCCGGGACGTACATAGGAAGTAGATGAAGAAGTAGATATCAGCGTTACTGACACAGGAGGCTTACCGTGGATTTATCGAGGCACAGATAATGCATGTTGAAAAGTTTTCGTCCAAGGCAACCCCTAAAGATCTCGTTTCGTGGAAAGTACAACACCCTTATCGACATTGCCCAAAGTATGTAAATTTATTGCCGCAATCGAGGACCCGATATTAAATACCTACATCTATCGAAATCACATGAAATTAATGCGTCTCACGAGTACACGTGTATACGACACTGCGATCTTACAATTCCGGCAAAATGTTCCCCCGACGTACATAGATACCGTGTAATGCTGACTTAGAAGCACATGCACGCTATATGGTACCTATGCAGGTCTTGCAGGACATTTATATCACGTAGGTGAGCCCTTGTACGTCCTACATGCCAAGAGGAGGATCCTTGCAGACTCCACCTAAGAGGACTTTAAACCGTCCCGACCAATAAAACAGAGACGAAGTATATTCCCAACTTATTTTCCGGAATAAGATCTTCCATGAAAAGGTTCAATGTACTTACCAAGTTTGTTTAAAAACCTGTAAAAGTGGCACCCTGAAGCTCCTGTAAAGTGCCCTTCAATTGAAACGTCAAACGCTTCCACGAAGACCCAGGTTAAATATTTAAATCGAAGGAGGGCACAAAGTCAAAACCGTGATTTAAGACTTGGTATTTGCTCAATGTTTTATTAACGTTGTTTAGAAATTTTGTAGATTATTGAATTTTTTTAAATTACTGAAAATGGCTAATGGTGCTAATAGGCTTTTTTCATCAATACTTTCTTCGCATTTGCTGTGATAATTAATGGCAATCGGATATTCCGAAGCACTAGGGTGCAGCGAAATTACTCGCGGTTATTACTTTGACATTCCTCCTTGGAAGTTTCCCGGAGAAAGCCGAGCATTGGCAGCCCTTTGTGGACCATTGTGCCGCAGCCGAGGCATCTCTGCTTTGTGTCTGACCTTGTTTTCTGGATGTTCCTCCGAGGACAGGGTCAGGTGGGTGGAGATGACGTTGGTCCGTGTACGTAATATCGTCAGCTATCACAGGTAGGATCACGACATCCTCCGTGGCATGTAAAGTGAAGTATACTTCAGCGTACATCTTCAAAAGGTACACGGCGCTGCATTAATCCTGCCGTGCAGAACCCGAAGTGCTCGATTTCCGTAAAAGGCCACCAGGAAAAAGATGCGCCCGAGAATCCCTGTTATAACGAGAAATATTGTCGAAAAACATTTGGGCCTCTAGGGGAATATTTTTCAACACGAAGAGCGGTGATGGTGTTTCCACCGGCGAATCCGTCACTTCGGATGACACTTCTAGGTTGGTCCATTTTTTGGGCACTCTGCAACTGCCTGTTTTTTATAACGAGGTGTCAGTTAAAAACAGTCCCGGATAGGAGTTCTAAAAAAACGGATAATAAAAGCCAAAAATAGTTTTGGCACTAGTACTTTATACAGGCATGAGAGCACCTTTCCACGTAGCGCCTAAAGGTGCAAAAGAAATCCGCGGATACCACTCTTTTTCAGCTCCTTGTATGTCGATCAAAATTGACTACGAGTGTAATTAAAGATGAAGATCAGCAATTTCCCAGTGTTAATGCTTAAGTGTAGAGGACTACCTTGAAGAGGAGCTGGTACCGCGCCTAAAAAACGTCTTAAGCAGGAAATGAGCAGTCGCGTCAGCACCTTTCTAGAGAAGCCATCCAAAGAATATGATAAGAAATCCCAGTCTTCTTCCTAATTCCCTAGATACCGATCCAGATTGACAATGAACATAATCGAAAACGGGGAATCCAATGTATCCTGGGGTACGTCGGAATCGCAGGAGCGGATCAACGATTCTTAGCTCCGATCTTTCCGGGACTCGACACCCTCTTCGGTTCCCTCGAGGGGGTAGAAATGGGCTTCTCCACGCTGACATCGTAAGTTTTCTAAGTCAAGAATGCGCTATTGATCGTCAAGCTCGGCGCAGAGCTCTCCTCATTCCGAAGTAGGCCACTTCTCCACACGTCCCATACGTACTTCTGCAGCCCATTGTCCCTCGTCGACGACCGCTTTCGTCCTCGCCATTGCTCGTTCTTGCCCTGAGGAGCATCCACAGGGTTCCCGGTCGTCTCTCGACGCACTTAATCGAGAGAAGTGTACCGAAACGGTATCAGAAAGGGGGCGAA